CCACTGGTCCTGAAGGGATCATCCGCCCTGGATTCCCTGTGTTTCCAGTTCCTATCTGTACCAGTGTACATCCTCTGGTCTAGCCAGTCTTGCAAGGTAGAGTTGGGATCATGACAGTGGGGGCGGGGAGGAAGCATTTAGGAACCAGCGGAGAGCTGTATGTTTCATGGTTGCTGCATCAGTGCTGTGCTTTTCAAGAGCCCTCTGCACGCAGTGTGGAGCGTGAACTGCAGTGTGCAGTCCCTACCTGAACCATTCAGGTGAATGAACTTGCGCTGTGAGACTGAGCTTCATTGCGGTGAACAAATGACACAGGGTGGGCATTTGAAATGTTTCCTGAGATGCAAATGAGGTAGAAAGACAACGAGTGGTGTTCTTCAGGAGCCACTGCACTAGAAGTCCCTGTAGTTGTTGTTAGGTGTCCTTGACTTATGACGTCCCCATGTTCAACACAAGGAAACACTGCCCGGTCCTGCGCCATCCTCACAATGGTTCTCCTGTGTGAGCCCCGCTGTCAACCCGTCTTGTCGAAGGCCTTTCGCTTTTTCCTCAGTCATGTTTTGCGTGCCTTCCGACCTGAGGGGCTCATCTTCTGCCACACTTCCCACAACGTTCTACGTCTTTTCATGAGCTCTTCAGTCTCTGGCAACGTTCCCATTCTGTCCACAAGGTTTACTGCGGCTAACTCCTCTGAAGTGGACAGTGAGACATTGAAGACGGAGGACAGGACTGTGCACCAGCCAGAGGAGGGCCGGGGCAGCACAGAGGCCCCTCCTGTCCGTCCGGGTCTTTCGGCACCAAGATGAACGGTTGGAGACAGAGACGTGGAACAGCGATAGAATTTAGCCAGGGATGTGAAGTTGAGAAAGGCTTTATTGAGGCAGGGAAAGAACTCCCGGGAGGGAAGGGAGACCAGAGAAGGACGGGGGCATCTAGAGCTCCCGGGCAGGTTCTGAGACCCAACGAGTTAGGTCAGGGAAATCGCGCCTGGCAGTGAGGCAGTGGGACATATATCAGGCTTGAGCCAAGGACGGATGTGCTGACAAGGGGAAGGAAGGCCTCTGGTGCTGTAGTGGCAGGGTCTGCATCAGGACGTGTCTGTGAGTAAGTCATCCTGGAACGCTGAGGGAAGAGGCTGCGCAAACCCGGCCCGGAGAGATAAGCTCCATGGAACGCTGGAGGCAGGGACTGCACAGTCCCCAGCTCTGGCCTTGAGAGGCG